ATATTGTTAAAACCATGTCTAATACATATATAGTTATATAAATAAGGTTTGAAGGACTTAGGACTGCCAACTCACTTTATTTCCTGTTCCTTGTTTGGTTTTGGACTTAGAGTACTGTGTTGTTTGTCTGAGTGTCGTTGGATCCTTAGTTATATATTATGTATATATGTATAGATATAAAGACTTTTATCTCACTTCAATACATTCAGTCATATAAACGATTATACTAGTAACTATAATAGGTATAGTTAGGGATATACTACTCATTACTTCTAGTTCAATGAAGCATACAAAGAGTCAGTTCATTCATGAGTCAATACTTACTATTATGAGAAACTATACAACGATACTATTATGAGAAACTATACAACTATAATATGATGAGAAACTATACAACAATACTATTATGAGAAACTATACAACGATACTATGATGAGAAACAATACATTCAGTACACTAGTACATACATTACATATACAAGTATAATATAAAATAAATGTGAACCACTATTTCGGGAAATGTATTCACTGCCATGACCGGATTTGTAACCAGAATCTCCTGGAGGGAGAGTGTGCGTTTGTGTATAGATCTATACTGGATTGACTATCCTACACCTTGTTGCTAGCTACAGTGAGACTTGCAGGTCTACGGGTGCCAAATAACATTACTTCCGACGTTTTACATCGTCGTGTTCATAGTCGATTGTATGGTACAATTAATCACATAACACCTTAATATAAATCCGGTTTAAGGTAGTTAGTACAACAGTAGTTACTATAATACAAAACTACAGTACTACATTAATTTCCCCTTTGCATTCACTTTGTGATCATTTCACATAAACGATAATGTATAAATTATATTTTGTTAATGATAGTCACATTTGGGAAAATTATACACTTTTACAAGAAACAGACATACAAAATAGTCGGGCCTTAGTAGAAGGCTACTTTTAGTAGAAAATATAGGATTTTCTAGGATTCACAAACATTCACTTATTTTTTCTACAACGTTTACAAACTCATATTTCAAACATTGTTGCAAACATTTTGATGCAAACAATGACACTAAAATATTTATGAACTCACCAGCTTTAAAGCTGATAAACTCTTTCAAAATAACTTGTATTCTCAGGTCATCCGCAGACAGGTACCGATGCTAGCTTTTGAGGAGATGGAGCGCATTCCAGACTCATCTTATATTTTGATTTACATTTTTAGTGTCATATAAACTATACAAAACACACTTGTATTAAATTATATTATTAATGTAATGGATGACGTTGTTTGCCTGTATTAAATAAACTATACAGACTTTTATTAAATTACATTAATAAATTATATTATTAATGTGATGGTGTCATATAAACTATACAGAACATACTTTTATTAAATTATATTATTAATGTAATGGATGACGTTGTTTGCCTGTTTACTATTATTTTTTGTTGTGATACTGTACATGACGTCCTCCAACCCCAAACGTTTCCGCCATTCTGGTTTTGGGGTATGACGGATTGGTATCAGAGCATTGTTTATGTCCATATAATATCTTGAAGAAAGAAGGAATAACTGATCACTTATCTTAGGCCGACAACTGATCTGAATCAGAGTTTGGCAGTCGCTTAGGAAAGCACATTTTTTTTGTTTACTTCAAAGTCTATACTTGCAATTGAGGTTGCAGACTTATCCAAGTCGGAGAATTTTGGATTAAGATGTGTAAGCCAATACCTAAATTGATATATTTTTTAAATAAAAGCAAACTCCTTTTAGGTTGCTCATAACTAGCAACTGAGAAGAATTATATTTGGAGGGAGATGATAATATATTAATATACTTTATGATTAATATATTAATTAGAAATATGTATAATTAATTTAGAATTAGTTAGAAATTAACTGAATTAAATCTTACAGTTAATTAAATTAATTGAAAGTTTAGGTACTAAATATGACATTGCTCAAAAGTTGAAAAATTGAGAGCTTCTAGAACCTCCCACAAGGGGACAATTTCGTAGATGTATTTTAGGGCCTCTAGGAACCCTTTAAGGATAAGTAAATGGATTAGATACTTCTCTTATTTGAGATATTATTATTATATTCCAATTAAAACTGTCCAAGGATACTTCATTTACATATAAATAGCTCCTTAAGGCTTCATATTTTCGACTACTTCTTTTAAGCCTCTCATAATTGAAAATACACTATCCTCTCCTCTATCCTCTTGTGTTCTTGTTGTGAAGGTTTGAGTACAAACCATTAGAGTCATCATCTCTTTTGTGCTAGTCTTTCCAAGCTTCATAACTACAAGGATTGGTGTGGTTTATTTACAATAACAAATAAAAAGGTATGTAACCTTAAACTTTGTAATTTTCGAATTACACTAGGTTATGCTAGTTTAGTTGTTAATTATATGTTGCTTCAATGTGTATGACATTTTATAGGATGTATCTACCCTATTAATTGTTAATTGTTTTCTGCATTGTACAAATTTATTTTCTATAAAACCCATCAAGATTGTCGCCAAAAAATAACATTTACCTATCTTCAAATTATAAACACAAAGCCACAATCGAATCTCCACCCAAAAAAATCTAGCAACATTTTTAAAAATTCAACGACGAATCCATAAAAAATATAACAAGTAGATACTATGGTTTTGAATATTTATGTTTTATTTTCTATGTTTTTTAGTAATTTTAGGTTTAAATTTCTATGTTTTTATGTTTTTTTTTTTTTTTTTTAATTTTGGTTTTAATTTTTTATGTTTTTTAAGTAATGTATTGGGTTTTGAAGTAATGTAAGATACTTATTTATGTTTAATAATTATGTTTTTTTTTTATTTAATCTAATGTAAAAAAAATAAAAAAAATAATATAGAGTGGTAAATCATTTCCATTTGTTAGTAGTGTGCAGGGCCGGCCCAAGGGGCGGGCGAGCTGGGCCATGGCCCAGGGCAGCAATGGGTTAAGGGGCATCAGATTTTCTAGGCATCGAATGGGTTTATATTGTATTTGGGCTAAATTTAATGATCTACTTGGCAAAATAAGTCCGGTCCAGCTGCTAGAAGGGCGCAAACGTTCATTTGAGCGACTAAATGATAAGATGCATGAGGCAGGTTCACTGTATAGGTAAACACAACGTCGCACCTTAGATCGAGGAGTTTCTTTTAGTCCTATGATCCGCTTTTAAAGACGAAGACGAATTATGAAACATTTATTTATGATTCGTGAACTAAAGACTGCCAAAGTACCGAGGTAACAAAAAGTTTCTTATAGTTTGCTTTTTAGTTGATTGGTTTTGTATCAATGATTAATCAAAATTTGCATCTCCATCTGAGGTCCATCTCCTATGATCTAAGAATTACAGTCTCTTAAGACTCTTATTATGTGCTCTGAATTCTGATTTTTGAGGAGTGAGTTTAAAATTGTTGCTAAATAAGTTTCTTTCTTTAAAGGCTAAGGTGTTAAAAGATTTTTGTTAAATATAAGTATTGATGGATTGTCGTTATTTATAAGATTGCTAATAATATTTGAGATCGCTTTATTTTTCAAATGTTGAAACTTTAATGATCGAAAGGTTTTTGAAAGATAAATTAGTATTGAAAGATTGCTGTAACTTTTTTAGATTGAAGGGTTAAACCCATGAATGCAGCAGTATATTGTTTTAGTTAATTAGAATCTAGTTAACTATTAATTTAGTTCAATATTGTTTATTGACTAACTGCTTTTAATATCATTATTGTTTTGCTAAAATAGGGTAAGGTTCTCTGGTTTGGAATTCTAGTTTGGTATTTGAGGGGTGCGATCATTGTAGACGGTATCAATGTATTAGTTGATGTTTAGCTTAAACAATCGTTGTTTCTTGTTATCTCTCCCAATGTTGATGTTTACTTTAAACAATCAATGTTTCATGTTGGGTTATTGTGATACGGAATTCCATTCCTGAAATGTGACAGATATTTTAAAAAGATTTGTGCTTCATATATCTCTGACTTTTTTTATTTATTTATTCTAAATTACTAATTTTCTTTCAATATAGCACGTAACCATTACAAAGTTTGTTCGCCATAATTTATCACACTTTTTCTGAAAATAGGGCACACAATTAACATTTTAGAAAATTGTTTCCAATTTTTTGTTTGTGTGGACCTCCAAAAAAAGGTATGGAATTGGGTGGTTATGAACCATTTTCGCCATCTTTTAGACACCAATCTCAATATGGACCTCCAAAAGATATCAAATTACTATGAATTGTTTGTTGGTTGCGTTTCTATGGACGAGACATTGCTAAGTTTTATGATCATAGAATAGTAACAAGGTTGTACAAAACAATTAATATTTAGATTCTAGTTTATATATATATATATATATATATATATATATATATATATATATATATATATATATATATATATATATATATATATATATATGGGTATTTTAAATAAAAAAATATATTTTAGTTTTGTTTTATAATTTTTTTTGTATATAGTTTCGGTACAAGTACTAAGGGCATTCTTAATACCTTCGCCCAGGGAAACAAAAACCTATGGACCGGCCCTGGTAGTGTGCTAGTAAAAGATATAGTGGAGATGACATGAGGCAGCCCCTTTTATAATAACCATGCATACTCTTTGGCCTTAGTGTGGTTGCTTGTAGTGAGGTGTTTCAGTAATCGAAAAGGACTAAGTACCATGATAAACTATTTACCTATAGCTTTGGTTCCTTTGATCCTAGCATCATTAATTGAATGTGGTTGAATGACTTTGTTTGGACTAAGAGATGTAAAGAAGAGATATTTGCGTGTATTAAAAGAAATCAGATTACATATAATGAACAAAATTACAAGATATTTACACCTAGATCAATTTACGCAACTAGCTCCAAATGTATGCTTTAATTACAAAAAACTAAGCAAAGTAATTCTAACCATCTAACATCCAAAAAATATGCCTTCAGAAATACTTCACTTTAAATGGAAAGTAAATGAATTCAAATGGCTAAAAGATGGGTTTCTTAAGCATTCTCCTCTCCCTTTCAAAAAGAAACCTAGAACCATATAAAAACCGGCCTACGAGAGGAAATTTTGGGCTACCAAATATCATGTACGTGATAGCAGCAAAACAGCTTATAAAAATTGGTATCCATTTAGAACTGTTTTGATAAAGAAGTAAAAAGTTGATGAGAAAAGCTAGGATCAAGGTCGCTATAGAGATGAAAAGTGATCCTAGACATATCATCAGTTGTTGGGGTAAAGAAATCATAAAATCATGTTCGGTGTAATCTGACCCCAAGATAGACAACACCAAAAGGATTGAAGATGTAGCCGATATAAAAGACAAGCCATCAAATATTATGAAAATTTTGGAAAGTTCTTTTCGGATGAAGATGGGGATGCCAGTTACTTGGTCGTATCCACCTGGAAATGTAAATGCTGCTGCGAATGAGATGGTGGCTATAAGTGACGCAACCACCATTAATTGAGCAGCGGTTTCTTTCATCCATTCTTCACCTTTGGAAAATAGATCTTTGTGGTTCTTGGTGAATACTTCATGTGGGGTTAGCCCAAATGCGTTCTTCTTTTCTCGAAAAGGAGGAGGGAGTATACTTTCAACTTCCTAACATCAGAAAGATTACGTCATTATCATGAACTTAAGGAATATAATATTAACATTTTATATATACAACAAGAAAATGGAAAATTATTTATGCAAGAAAGGGGTATACATGCATCAACCCTTCACCATGGACCACATAGCCTCACCCCAAAAGCATAATGTTATATATATCATGTGAGATACACAAAAAGTCCTCTAGCTGTATTAAGAAAGAAAGATGACTTGTATGAAGAGTTAACAGCCACGTGTACCTTGAACCATAATGTTTCTAGATGCAACTGCAGACCGACTCCAGGTATGTCTTGAAGTCTGTTACGCTTTGGACTTTGGCCAACCAAATGCAACATGTTGTTGCCATTTTCGTCTTCAAGAGTAATTATCAAATTCCTTAGTGAGCCTATCTCATACAATAAATTATAGATACCCTCATGACGATGTGAGACAGCAACGTGAAATATACTTTGGTTATCATCATTCACCTCTCGTACTAAATGTGGATATTGCCTAATAACCTCAACAACAAACGCAGTGTTGCCCATTTCTGCAGCAAGAAATAGTACTCGGGATGAGTATTTTTGCTTTGTAGGTATTGAAGTAGTTCCCCTCTCATCAACGCCTCTGAATCGGTTAAAAATTCTAGTAGGCATTTTTGTAACGCTATCCGAAATGTTTCTTAGCAATAGTAGTGCTTCTTGCTTTTCCTTTTCAGCGCGTGTTGGCTTTATAATGTCCTTAGGTTGATCGGGTGGCCCTCTTATTATTTCATCAATTTGAGGCTTTGGCAATTTCACAATCTCTGCCCAAATGATTGTTAGTAATTGGAGAGCATGACTGTCCATGTCAGGAATTCCAGTCTTCAGATGACAGACTTCAAAAACGACACCAAAGTAAATGATATGAAATACTTGTGAATAGATTATTATACCTTTATATCCTCTTCATTGGGTGTTTTGGTTGTAAAAATATAAAGACTTTCTCTTCGAGGTAATAAAGTTCACTATTTTTATAATAAGAAAAAGCTCCAAAATCCGTGGAATGTCCCATCTGTTTCATTAGAATTTAAGACAAACTTTTATGCTCGACATAAGAAAACCAGAAAAGTGAGTTTATGTCGAGATTAATATTCTTCAAAAGGTTTTTTTAAAAAACACGAGCCAAAATGATTAGAGTTTTGATTAAAACAATTACTGTTTGGAAACACTGATCACTTTGTTTCTGAATGTCCAGCAAACCCTAATAAAAAAAATGACCTTTATAAATCCTTACCCAATCATCACATATTTTACTGGATGTCATAACACATCAAGCATAATACTGTTTACCAGAAACTGATAATATGAAGGTACAACTGCAAAGAATAATATATAATAAGTTAAGGAAATGATATTCTTACATGAACATAAGAGTCTCCAGAAAATATTTTGTGTTGTAACATCAAATGCATAGGGTTTTCTAGCCAATAGTCTGAGTACCCTACCATTTATAGCAAGTTCCGGACGCTCCCTCGCAATTTGTAATGCGATATCTACATAATATTTGATGAACAATTAGTGAGAAAAAATCTATGAAAAAGTAAACAAAGCTAAGCAAAAGCAAAATGCAAGCAAGAAGCTAAGACACAAAATCGACATCTTCCTGGAGTTGAATATGCATAAGAATTACATGTTAAAATCTACATGCGTTTACTTTTAGTTCCTTCCACTGGAAGGAACAATTGCTCATTGCATCAAGATAGACAATTGATCAATGAACGTTCAATAAATTTTAGGGACACCATCAATAAATAACAACCAAGTTTAACATTTGTTCATCCAATGTACCTAAATTAAAAAGACAACCCCGGGATGAGCCATAAACTAGGCCCAAAATAAAGATAAAATGTTAGAACGAAAAATACTACAAACACATACAATAAAGACTTGAAGAAAAGTTAAGGACAAAACGACTTAAGGTGTAACATAGAAGAACTAGAGAACTTTTATTAGAGTTGTAGAAAATATGGCCATATCAAACGCTTTCTGCTTAGCGTTAAAAAGGTATACATGGATCGATTTATAATGGTAAAAGTTAACCTAGGGTAACCTCACAAGCCCAAGGCATAACTATTTGGTTTGGTCGTAGTCTGAGCACGACGAACCCTAGCTCGAGCATTTCATACCTTGACTCAAGAATCGATGTTGCTAGCACAACTGCCACTGAAGACCCTTAGGGCAAAAATCTAATTCAAAAGTTTATTTGCAATCCCCCCCCCCCCCCCCCCCCCCCGCGAATACACACACACATTCCATGTCTTAATAGTAGTGACAATAGGGTTAAACACACATTTTAAACCACACAACTCAACATTCTCTTACATGGAGGTTGATCAAAAAGTCTACTGCTATCCAAACACTAACATTATAAACATATCTTTATTTAGTTTGCACATTATATTCAACTATCTGAAAGTACGTAACTTCAATTTATATGTTGTTGTACTCTTGGTCAACATATCTAATGGGCTCTTTATGTCAAGAATCTTCTTGAAGGACCAAGAAAACCATCACTTATGAATTCTAAGATAGAGTGGTACCACATCTAAATATGTTTTTGTTCTTCTATGAAATATTGGATTCTTCGCCAGGTGAATTACACCAGTTATCAAACTGTATGACATAATCTTCTTTTCTCATAGTCAACTATGGTAATAAGTTCTTCAATAAAGTAAGCTCAATGTCAGCTTCTACAATAACCATAAACTTTGTTTTGTGGTTAAATAAGTAGCGTTATTTTGTAATATGGACATACAACTAATAGTTGTACCCCTAATGGTGAACACCCTACAAATGGTGCATTTCCTGAAATCTGGTCAACCTCTCAAATCTGCATTAATAGAACCTTTTAATACTACCTTCCTTCTTCTAAAAGACAAGGAAATCTCATAATTAACTCTTAAGTAGAATATTGGCTACTTCATTGCTTCATCTTGCTCCTTACCTGGATTTGACACAAATATTCTAACAAGTCACACGAGATGTGAAATATTTGGTGTGGTACATACCATTGCATACATCATGCTACTAACTATTGTTACATATGTAACTCTTGCCTTTCTTTTATTGTCTTCATCTTTCTCTAGTATGTTTTCCTTTAAGAGTTTTCCATTACTCCCTAGAATGGTGCTTTTAGCCTTATCAAATACTAGTGGTAAATATTTGTAAGACTTCCCATGTATACTTATGTTAGGAAAGATTAAGAGTACTAGCAACTTTTTCTTTGAAAATTCTCATACTTGTACTTAGAATTTGTTTGCATCTCCTATGTCCTTCATTTAAAAAACCTTGGACAACTGTTTCTCTATTTTGTTGATATCTTTCACATCGTGCAACTATGAACATGTCATTAACATATAATAAAAGGAAGATGAAAGAGGATTTGAACTTATATATATATATATATATATATATATGTATGTATATATATATATGTATGTATATATATATATATATATATATATATATATATATATATATAATTATCAAAACTTCAAGTATCACTGCCTTAGAGCTTGCTTGAACCCATATAGATATTTCTTTAACTTTCATACTAGATATTCTTTTCCAGCTAACAAAAAACCCTTTTTGGTTATTCTATGTAGCTATTTTGATTTCTGTCTCCATTTAAAAAAGTTTTCTTCACATATGGTTGTTGTAGTTGTAAATCGTTTGTAGCTGCAACGAAAGATATCAAGTCTTATCTTATGTTAACAACCATTGATACTTTTTCATTTTAGTCAAGTCCTATCTTATGTTAACAACCTTTTACCATTAATCTAGCTTTATACCTCTTTTCCATCAGTTTTGTTCTTAAGACTTAATATCTACTTCCCTTAGTCTTTTCTTCCTTACTGGTACATTGACGAATGACCATATATGGTTCTTGTTTAGTGAGTTCAACTCATCCTCTATACCCTTGCTCAACTATATGGAATCTTTCATCTTCAAAACCTCTAGATAAAATTCTAGCTCTCTATTCTGAATTAACAAGTGATTCTTTTATTACAGAACGTCCTACTAAAGGTGTTTTTTCTCCAGTAGATCTTTTAATGGAGGAATTTGTATATGGCCTCATTTGTAAATTCATTTTCTAAAGCCCCATTGTCTTTTATGATTCCATTATCTCTTGACCCCCAAACTAGTCTTAGCTCCCAATACTTCGTAAAATTTCATCTATCTCTAAGGTGTTTGTAGGTCTTGTAGTGTCTTTTTATGCTAATCATACAGACCTTAATCTTTAGCTTTTGGTTATGCTTCAAACTCATCTTTATAATGGGCATTCTTGTTTAATATCATATTCTTACTTATAGCTACCAATTTATTGTGGTTATTACACAAGCAATAAACCCTGTTATTCAATTTGTAGCCAATAAAGACAAAATCATTTGCTTTTTATTTTAACTTATCTCTACATGTATGTTTGATCTTAATGTAAGAGATGTAACTACATACCTTCAAGTAGGTGAAAGATAACTCCCGACATTTCCACTCCTCATTGCTAAATTTCAATAGTATCAATGGGGTCAAAAAGGAAAATCAGGCTCCACCACTCAACATGAAAGCGGAGAACTAACTATAAAAAATGGCATGATAGTCCTTTATAATAGGTGTATCGGTCCCTCCACTTTGGCATGGTACTCCATGAAAACCACCACAGGGTTTGTCCAAATTTCATCACACTCAGAGCTCTTATGATTGGTCCAAATATCTTTAGCAAGTGGTTCGGTGTGGAGTTTTTTGGAAATTTTTTTATAATAATTTGAGCATACATTCTAGGATTTTGTAGTTATGTGTTTTAGATAGTATGGTATTTATATTTCCTTTTAGAGTTAGGATAGTAGTTAGAGGTCACAAAAAACCGGTTTAGAATTAAAAATCCAGTTTTTAAACAGAACCAAAGTGGATTATAAATTGGTCTAAGTGAAACTAATTTGATTTGAAGTTGAAGCTAAGACATGGGACTACTTTGACATCTAAAATCTTGGAATTGATTTATGTAAAACCAATTTTCAAACGTACAAAAAAAATTGATTTTCATACACTAATGACATGTTTAGATCCATTGTTTCTACAAATTATCACTGATACAATGTTTTGGAGATTTCTCAAGATTGGTTTATACCCCTTGTACTATCGTAGATGCCCGATAAAAACTTTTTATAATACAATAACACAAGAAAAAAGTTGTTGCTCCGATCCTGAATAACGAAAACACCTTACATCTTCCTCCTTACCTTTCTCGTTCCTTTCTTCCTCCGTAATCCACCTCATTTGGGGCCCTAAACCCTACCTCTACACCATGCGCGTCAACAAAAACTTACCACCCTCTATAGACAATCCATATGTCATGACGAATAGCAATACATATGTCGCGTGATCTTGCCTCTCATAACTACGATCCATTGTGCAACCTCTTTGCCTTCCACTGCATCACATACGATGCTGTCGGTCATATTGAAATTTCTTATGATGTTCCATCTACACCTCTTATGAATTTTGAATGGGAGAAACTTGATTCCATGGTTAAACTATGGCTATTTGGGTCCGTCTACCAATCCCTAATTACATTTGCCTATATTATCAATGCAATCACTTGAAAAGTTGGGCTCAACATAAATACCCTTTTCTGTGAAAACAAATATGTCATAGATTTGCAACCCAAAAGTGAGCTCTAGAGTATCTCCATGGGGACCTCTCATTTCATGATTATCGCAACAAAGTCAAAAAGATCATTGATTTACTTGAAGGACTTGGTGAAACCTCTCATTTCTTGATTATTGCAACAAAGTCAAAAAGATCATTGATTTACTTGAAGGACTTGGTGAAAAAGGGAAGGAAAAACATGTTGTGATTCATACCATTAATGGCTTATCTAGGAAATTTGATAGTATTGAGGAACACACTAAACTCCTCTCCATTTTAGTGAAATGTGGTCCTTGATTAGTGTGTAAGAAGAATGGATTATCACTAATCGTGTCCCATCTTCATCTTATGATCATCATACCTCAGTTTCAACATTAATACATATCATAAATACCACCTACAATAGTTGAAGTGGCAACAGAAATTACCATCAAAATGATGAATAGGGCGACAACAAGAATTTCAATAATCAGTGTTGCCAACCACCACCTAACACCCCTAGCACACCAACTAGAAATCAATGTTATGGGTGAGTTTCATTCCCACTCAAAACCGCCTTAAAACCTAATGTGGGTTGCTCCTTCATTGTATCTTTCACCTACTTAGGCCACACAACAATAACAATCCCAACCTACTTCTTTATGGGTCGAGCCAATTCAGTAACTCCTGGACAAGTAGACCCAATCTCATAGCACAAGGCAGTCTATAGGCACATATCCAACCCGCCAGTTTAACTCAACTTTTGTTGGCTTGGTTAGGTACTCCCGATCATCCCAGTTCCTTGCATGAAATGCTTAATAAAATGACTTTAAATAACCTATGAAATGGAGGATGGGTAATAGACATC